CCCCCCGCCCCCCCCCCCCCCCCCCACGCACGTACGCGTGCACGTATCCCAGGCACGCGCGCACACACACACACACACACACACACTGGTACTCGCTCCATGCGTGCGCTGATCCCGCGCGCTCCCACTGGCACACACTCCACGCACACACACTGGCACACGCTCACAAACTCCACGCACGCACCCCAGGTACACATGCTCCAAAGACACGCGCTTGTACACGCTCCACGCGCGCGCACACTTTCCACACACAGACACACACACTCGCACCTCCCTCCTCCCCGGCACACAAACGCCAATCACACACACTGGTACACACACAATGCGCACACATTCTGAGGGCACACTCGTGCCGCGCGCGCACAGTTCCATCCACCCACACACATACTCCGCGCCCTCCCAACACACACCCCACGCACACTCCCGCACAAACGCCACGCACACATATTCCGACCACACACATACACTTTCCACACACGCACACCGGGCACACAAACTCCAATCACACACACCGGTGCACACACCATGCGCACACGCGTTCCGCGCGCATACTCATCCCACGAGCACGCACTCGCACAACCTAAACACGCGCGCGCGCTAGTACACACTGCACACACGCCACCCCCAAGCACAGTCCCGCACAAACTCTACGCACACATACTCCAAGTACACACATTTGCACACACTTTCCACACACATACCCCACGCACGTACCTTGCCACATTCCCCACGCACACACCCTCGCAGGCACTCTCCACACGCGCCCCCTCCAGCATCTTTATATCACCTAGCGCCCACAGTCCGTGCACAGAGCACACACGCGCCTCTCTCCTCAGCAGTGCAGGCTTCACCCCTGCTGTATAAGCACACACGCTTCCCACGCATACCCGCGCCACAGCCTCGCCTCTCCCTCCCTGCCGTACGTGTGCACATTTTCTGCCCCTTGAACGCGCCGCCACCCCCTTCCCTCGTGGGCGCACTTGCACACTTCGCGCGCACACATTCCTACGCGCGCTTGCTTCTCCCCCAAGCCCACCGGCTCACAACACACAATACACTCCGCACCTTTCCTCTCACTCACCCCCTCCGACACATTCACACTTGTACGTGCGCACACCTTTCCCCTCAGGCGCTGCTCACACACTTTGCGCACGTACGCACGCGCACATCCTCCTCTTTGAACGCATACACGTCTCCTCTATGGAATTCAACGCACATGCTTCGGACACGTACCTACCCTACACATACACACATTTCTCACACGTATACGAAATTCTCCCTTCACCACGTTAGCCTAATACACATAAACAAGACACAAGCACCCCCAGCCCCCGGCATACAGACATCTCCAGCTTTCATGTGGTCACAATTAATTGTCTTTACTCTCTTAAGGACTTGTTAAGCAAGTGTAGGCCAGTAGAGGGGGTATAGCTCAGTGGTAGAGCATTTGACTGCAGATCAAGAGGTCCCTGGTTCAAATCCGGGTGCCCCCTTCTAAAGTTATCTTTTATTCCACCCTCCCCTTAAAATCCTATTTATGACTGTCGCATCAACAGGGCAAAAAAAAGCACAATTTTGTTTCTAATGCAAAAAATATTTAACATCAGCAAATCAGTTAGTGCTGTGGAGAGACATGTTCAACTTTCCTTTATGTCCAGTAAAGGGAATATGTTTCAGTAAGCGGTATTTTGCCTAATAGTCTTGTGTCTTTGGGTGATATATTGAGCCTGTATTTTAGAATAACGGTTATTACGATAAATAAATATAGACAATTTAGTGCCATAAATTTTCATTGCATTTTGCATGCACAGCATAATGCAGATTATATTTATATTATTTGTGTCTCTGGAGGCCCGTATCTTGCATTTACCAGACAACTGACTAAATTGCCCAATAATACATCCTTTCAATAAGCTTGCTTGGCAGTAGAGCGGGAGGCCTTGATTCCAAGTTGGCCCTGTTATTTTCAGTAAGCCAGAGCTGAGCAGTTTCAAGGTGGAAAATATAGATACAAAAAAGTAGCATTTTGATTAATACTGGGAAATGATCCAACAAGAATAGACCCAAAATCAAAACCGTGTGTGTGAACCTGGTAAAATTTACAGTATTTGGATAATTCAGGACCCAGACCTTTTGGTTTTCTGATTACCAACTGATGTGCCAACTAATCAATATTTTGCCAAGTAATAACCCCAATTAATTTAAAATACAGTTCCCTTTTAGCATGATCTCATTATAACAGCACTAACTTAGCCTAACAGCATAAACTCATATATGTTAAGGGGAAGTACCTTGGCATCAGATATGCATGCATACAGTGACACAAAAGCTAGAATCAAAACTGGTCAATTATGTGCCATAACACCTTGCTAATAAGTGAAGGAGAGAGAGTCTCTTTCGGAGTCCTTTTCAGCCTGGGTTTTTGAAGGAAGTTCCCTATTTCTCCTGTGAAAATCTGCATGCTCATGATAAGCAGATATTGACAACTGTTAAGTCCTAGTTCGTCGTAAATTTGTTACAGTTTGACACTTGCTTGCTATAATGCTTGCTACCTTTTATATGTCTGTTTTCCGCATCCACTCTCATATTTCTATCAACCCTCCTTTACCTAAGTGCAGCCAAGACTTTTGTGTACACATGCACCTGATGATGACACAGCAGTGAAAGCATCATTTATGATGCATGTCTCAGGCAATCTTTCTCAAAATGTTCATCGTTTGTCTTTTGCTTCTTCTTAAGCACAAGCAGTATAGCAGCGGGGAAAGGAAACAAACGCACTGCAAGAATGAAATTGTGTACAAATGCATCTATCCCAGGATTTAGCATTAAATTAATAAATACGGTTCTGTATTGGTGAAGAGGTCTGTTGCTACTGGAGAGTTAAGATCTGTGATTAACTACAGAACCCATCTATCATTGTCATTTCTCTGCTGAAAAAAGCTTATGAATCTCTGATATCAGTTACTTTATAGCAGGGGAGATCAACCCCCAGCCCATGGGCCAGTTCCAGCGTGTGAAGCCATGTCATCCAGCCTACAGGGTTCCCTGCAGTCTTGAAATTAGGGTGCAGGGGAAGTGGTGGCAGCTAATTGTTGCTCCCCTGCTGCCAAATTTTTGGACCTGTGGAATTCTCTGCGGCACAGATACAATAGCCCTGTGCAGGATGGATAGATCGGGCATGTGGGGCTGAGTGGGGCACAGGGCTGGGCACAGGGCTGGGCAGAGGCCCAGTCCTAGCCCAATCCTAGTGCATGGGTCCTTATCTGGCCCACGGATCTGCCTGGAACCACTCCTCCTGCCCATGGAGCAAAAAGTTTGAGTGCCACTAGTCTATAAAGTAAAACTCTACCCTGCCTTCTGCTTTACCAATGTGCCATGTTCCATAACCTGTACTAGCAATGTCTTTATAAGGATACCCAGTTAAAATGGTGTCACTATATACACTAATTAATATCTAAGGTATCTCCACCTAGGATTAAATTTATCAGCATTTAAAATAAGGCTCCAAAGAGGCACCAGGGAACTTTTGATCTTTAGGCAAATGTGGTCCCATGCCTTCATAAGGCATATAGCTACAGGGAGAATGGAGTTACTCAAACCAGGATGTGTAGTCTTTCCTCTTTGACAAGACTGTCAATTTTGTTAGGGATAATTCATCCATTAGATTTTGGCCTGCAATACTTTTAAGTATTTGAAGGTATGTGTCTCTAGTGGGTTATGGAATAGAGAAAATCCCACACAACTTACTGATTCGTTTGACGCACTGGCTGGGGAAATTTTTAGCTACTCGCACGATTTCACAATGATTACACACTTAATTCATACAACACAATTTTATTTTAAAATTCTTTGCTACACATATAACACTGCTTAGCTTTAAGAAATACCACAAACATTAAGAACACAATAACTACATGTATCAGAAACAATGCTCTAAATGCACTTC